CAATTCCCAATAGTTCACAGTTTTCCTCAGTGGACAATTCAAAACAGTCCGCATGATCTAAACTATTCTCTTTTGAAAAGAACGTGAACAATTTCTTGATTCGTTTGGCACTATTGATTCTAAACGCTTTGGATTGAATTTTGGTTTTGTACCAGTTGTTAAAAAGTTTAGACTTAAATGAAGTTTTGGTATTATACATGGCTTGAAAGTCGATTTCCTCTTCTTCTTCTGAGTTCTCAGCATCCGATGAAAATAAAATTGTATCCGATGAAATTAAAACTGTATTGGTGGCAGTAGTGGCAGTAGCAGGAATAGGAGTAGGAACAACAGTGGCACCAACAACAGGAGCAACAACAGGAGCAACAGCAGCGGTGGTAGTTTCAGCAGCGGCAACAACAACAGGAGCAACAGCAGCAACAACAGGGGCAGTGGTAATTTCAACAGCAACAGTAGTGAGAGACATAGAAGTAGGATCAGTAGTGGCGGTATTATCAGAAGATGATTCTAAGCCGGTTGATGATTCAGTTGTATTGTCAGCGGGTTCTGGATTGTAGTTCTCTAAGTCTTCGTTCATTGAGATTTGAACAAATATGTCGTGAATTGTCTCTGGTATTTTTTCTTGGGTTGTTTCTTTATAACAAGACTGCAAGAACTCAGTCATTGTGATTGGATAGGTGGAGTTTAATTTTGCCTTCTGATACTTGGCAATAAACCTGGCGGTTGCCTGGTTTTTCTGGAATAATCCAGTGAAATAAAGAGTCTTCATGTTCTTCTCAAGTTTCTTGAATTCCGCCTTGGATAATAATGATAATTTTGAATCAGAAGATTCTTGTGAATTCTTTGAAAAGATCTTAAAAGGCATTGTTGTTATATTTGTAATGTTTGGTCTATTTGTTGTAAAGTGAAGAAGAAACGTGTACAAAGAAATTGACGTTCTTTTGTTTTTTCGCAATCGAGAATTTATATTTACTTGTAAAAATTGCAACCATTATTTTTCCTAAGAAAATGTTATCAATCAGAAATTACTTACTTTGAAGCTTAACACAATTGGAATGCAAATTGTACATTATTTTCCTCTGAATATCATCCATTTCCCATTGAGGGTACTAGTCCATGTGTTGCATTACTTGACTAGGCATCTTCGAATTATCGTCTTATTTTCAGCAATCTTGGATATTGGAGTCAGATAAAGTGTTATTGGTCGCTTTGGGAGAGCTGCTTTTATTAAGAACTAAGGGTCAAAGGGAGAGATTCGCTGTTGCAAAGCTGTGAGTGTGTCTTGGTATACCGAGAAGGTTCTTGGGTCGAAGCGTTTCCAATTGAAGTTCTATCTCTAAATTGTTACCTTGTTTAACTCTTTTTATTGTCGTAAAATTGTGCGACACACGTTCTGATAGATTCTAAATGAAGGGTTGGTAGCGCCAGATTTGGACTTGTTTTCATTATGGGGTAGCGCAGTCAATTTTAAGAGACACTAAGAAATTAATTACAAAGGAGAATTAATCTTAAATGATATGTCTTGAATAATATTGTAAATCTTAGATATTGATTGTATTCATTATTATCACTACTATATCTATATATCAGTTTATGTTGACCAGTTTTCTTCGTTGAATTTGTTTGTTGACTTTTATTCTATTTGGAGAGTGGTACCCGACTTCCTTTTAGATAATCCTTTGGCTTACTGTTTATTTCAACAGACTTAATACAAACATTAATACAAACCGCGTTTACCTTCAGGCTTTTAACCAGCTTACTAATCAATCTAGAGGAGAACGGCGTTTACCCAGGAGCCAGCAGAACTAAAGACCACAGCATGTTTAATTTCAGAATTCATGCGTACAGTTTTCTCTCTGGAGTCAATCTACTAAAGTATGCTAAAGCCACTCCGGACCCAAAGAAGATGACGAGGGAATAAGTAAGGAATATGCGTCGATTTATGGTATAAGGGAAAAATCCATCTTTCTAGTGCATCGTTTATAGAAATAAGGTTTGTTGTTGTTGTTCACTATTGCCTTGCGTCTCGAAGAGATGCTGCTGGAGAGGGCAACAAGCGTCGAGGAGGAGTGGAAAATAGCTGTGATATCAAACAAATCAGATTATCTAGAGTTTTTAGAAGACAGAACTTGGGCTCATGTACCGAGTAAACATGTGCTGGTCAGATTAAGGAAGCTTCTAAGGAGTCCACTTTATAAAAGAAGCAAAAATAAAGGATAAATGGCATATCTTGGCCATTGCAGGTCCATAAAATGAAGACACTACAATTATCAATGTAATATGTATTTAAACCTGTTTCTATAAAACCTCGTTGTCTACTTTCTATTCAATGATTTTCGTTTCAACCATTTATCTCTACTTCCAACAATTTTCTTTTCAGCTTTAGGAACAACTTTTCCAACTTTATTTTGATTCAGTTGAACTTTAACAAATACCCCTTTTGCCTTTTCAATCGCCATGGATTTCCTTTGTTTGATTTCTTTTAATTTGGTAATTAATTTCAATTTCTTATCTTCTTCAAGATCTAATCGAATATGTTTTCCTTTCTTGACCGTGTTTGATTCTTCTTGGTTTTGTTGCAGTATTCCACTAGTTATGTCTTCAAGTATGTCATCAGGTAAATAGTCGGGTATTTCTTGATCTTTCTGTTGTTCCTGTTGTTGTTGTCTTTCCTTTTCTTCTTGTTCAGCCTTTCGTTGTTGTTGTTGAGCGGCGTAACGTGAATCCAATTCACGTCTTTTCTCACGTTGTGCAGCTTTTTCTTTTACCAATTGTTCACGTTTTTGTTTTTCAGTATCAAGAATGGCTTGTTTACTTTTTGATGTGCTTTCTTCTTCTGGAGCTTCATCGTCTGATTCGGATTCTTCTTCCTCTTCAGCTGATGATGATGATATGACAACTACCGGTTCAAGAACAGGTTGGGTTATTTCGATGACATCGTCATCGTCCTCATCGGTGAATTTTATTTTCTTCGCTTGAGTCCTAGTGATTGCCATTATTACTGTTTGTAGTTTCAAAAGTTTGTGGTATTTGAAGATATATTACGTATAAAATTTGAGATCATCTCAATTTTTTTCAGATTTTGCTCATCGGATATTTTTTTTCTTTTGGGTGCGAAAGACAATAGACACACAAAAAATTAAGATGTCACTCACTAGAGCCTATTAAACTCGGTAACCGATTCTCCATCGATGGTTACATACTTATATGTTGCCTTTGTTCTATTGGTTTTGGAAGCACATTTGTTTGAAAGCTTCCAATTTGCAACACTCTGCTACCACAAAGAATACACTACGTCAACAATAGAACAACCCAGTAAAATGTGTCAACTATTTCTGTAAATGGACACTTATCTCCAAACATGAAGAAATGGCTGCAAATTAAATTTCTTAATATTTGCAACATTCAATTCGTTCTCTATAAATTATATAATGCCTATTGAATCCAACTATTAAGACCAAATGTTCTCCATCTATTTCTATTAATACCGAAAACAAATCTCTCTACAAAATTTTGTTTAATTAAATAATTTAAAGTATCCTTCAGAATTTCTAATCCATGAATAACCAAAGTATCAACTTGTTTAAACCCATTACACAATTTAATCAAATTGATTCCATCGATTCTCTCATTAAAACTTATATCAAGATAGTTCAAGTCATGTTGAACTTTATTCAAATCGGCAGCAATTTGTATAATTGAATCATTATCGATATTCATTTCATTAAGGTATAACTGGGATAGATTTATGCAATAGTTGAATATGTTTGATATATGAATCAGTTGAGGTGAATACTTTGAAAATGAAATATATTTCCCGTTTCCAATATTTAAACTTGTCAATTTCGCACCACAAATCTTCAAGAGTTTAATTAAGCCATGCAGGGAAAGATTATGATTATAAATATCCAATTTTGTAAGTTGTTTAAACTGAACAATTTCATTGACTTCATTCAAAGATATCATAGAATGATCTTTACCCCCTTCACGAAATGTTAATTCTTTCAATGAAAACTTTGGATTGAAATTCTTTAATAAAATCAAAAAGGTAAAGAATGATAAATTTGAATTGTTTTCAAAATAAATCTTTTCTAATTTGGTACATCTAATTAGGAATTCTCCAAATTCAGATAGTTTATCATTAAATTCATACGATACAATCGTCAAATCTGTCAAATTTGGGAAATTCAAATCTAACATTCTAATGGTTGAGATTTTGGAAGGATGATTTACTAGTGTTAAACATTGTAATTGGTATGAATCTGGCAGTTGTTGTTTCAACTTTTGAAAAATCTTATCTCTTCTAGGATAATTGGTTTCGCCCGGCTTCGTGACTAGAAGCTGTAGCTCCTTTAAAGATTTAAATTGATTCAATAATAGCCTTCCTCCGTAAGACAAATCTTCATTTATTGTTAGTTTGAGAGTTTGTAGATTCTGAAAGTTCCTCAATTTCCAACTCAGTTTGATTAATTGATCTAAAAGTAATGAGATTGTCATATTCCTGTCAAGTAATTCTAATCTTTCAATCGAGATTGGTTGAACAATCAACGTTTCAAGAATCTTATTCAATGACGGTGAATGGATTGAATTGAATTTGATGGAAAACCTCTTCAGGTTTATTTTCTTCAATAATCGTGAGGCATTCGTGAATTCATTCAATGTTATACCTTGCTTCAAATTAATTCTTGAATTATACAACTCCTGCAATGAAATCAACGCGAAATACCATGTCTTACAAACTAAATGACATTGCAAGATTGACTTTAGTTCCAAATCTTTGAATATCAACCCAATAATTTCCTGTGGTAGATAATGAAACGGATCTAACACTCTCTTTGGTTTCTTTATCTGTCGTTGCTTCTCTTCCAGTTCCGCCCTTCTCTTTGTTTTCAACTCTGAGTTCAATTTCCGATATTGTGATTTCAAATTCATAAATAATTTCTCAGGAACACTAATCTGAAACTCGGTGATCGCTTTCTCAATTATATATACCCCAGTTTGATAACATTTATATGCCTCTACTGTTTTCCCCATATTATATAACAATTTCCCTCTTCTTAAGTATCCTTTACAACCCAATGGATCAAGTTCCATCAATTTCTTAGCATCCAAAAGCGCATTCGCCACCTGTCCTAATTTTTCGAAAGTAGCAGCACGTTGATCATATAATGGACATATCTTGGGATGAATTATAGGCCCCATGATAGGTTTCTCAGCCAATCCATGTTGTTTTCGTATGAGTTTGATCTGGGATTGTGGGCGTGAAGATAGTTGAGAAATTAATTGATTATAAATTCCTAATGCTTTAACATAATCTTGTGATTTGAAATAGATAATAGCTAGTTGGGTCTTATCTTCTATTAACTGAGAATCAGACATGACATAATAAGTTTGGATTTTAGGTGGCCGTAATACAATGGTCCCCCCTTGAAAAGAAAAATGAGTTGTTTATTAATTTTTGGCTGTATCTCTGCGGACACCGCAATCTAAGATCTATAATTAGATTCCAGGGAAGACGCGTTTTATAGAGTTTCCCTACAAACTAAGAGTGATGTCATTGTTTATACGTGCGATTGAGATACTACTAGTATCAATTGTAATGGGAGCATCAACCTTTGGGGTAGGTTTGATACCTTTGAAATTGAACTTATCAAAACTACAATTAAACAATATGTCATTGTTTAGTATGGGGATCTTAATTGGAACTTCGATTGTAATTATATTACCGGAGGGTGTTGAAATGTTGTCAGGATCATTAGATAAGAAGGAGGAAGTATCGAAATATATCGGATTGCCAATTTTAATTGGATTTGTATTGATGTTTGTATTAGAAAATTCACCGGTGATTTCATATATTGGTGGGGATTATAGCTTTCTTGAATATGGCAATGGAACCAATACCAATATCATAAAATCAATTACAGGGTCTTCGATAACTATTGGTTTAGTAGTACATGGATTGGTAGATGGGATTTCTTTAGGATCATCATTTCTGAAAAATGAACAAATGTTTAAATTATTAATCTTTTTAGCAATAATAGTTCATAAATTACCAACTGCATTTAGTTTAGTCTCAATATTGATTCATGAAGGTATTAATGATGATTTATTATACTGGCATATCTTCGTATTCGCCATGCTGACACCAATTGCCTCATTGGTTACATTTGCAATCGTGGCAATAATTCATAAAGATAATGAATTCATCATTGGGATATTATTGTTGTTTTCAGGTGGAACATTTCTTTATGTTGTCAATCATGTTATAGGAGAAATGTTTGACAATCATAAGGCTGAGAATTTACCGGTTAGTGTAGAGAGTGATGGGACATATATATCGCAACCTTCCGCGCCGCATTCACATCCAAGCATGAATTTAAGTGAGTTGGGGCTTTCATTATTGGGAATTGTAATTCCATTGATACTAAGTATCACATTTCACGAATAATACTGATCTATATTTATTTGTATTTATAATTACAATTCAACATATTATTTATATACTTCTAAAAAAAAAATCGTAACAAAGACTCTAGCTAAAAACTGATCCATAGTATTGATTGACAGGTTCTTCAGATTCAATCAGATCAGAGTGTCCTAAATCAGCATGTGGGGCGATTTCTTCTTCCAAAGTATCATCATCATTATGATATCCTTCATCCTCTTCTACTTTTCCCACATACTCTCTTGGTTGATGATGATTATCTTCATCAGCATTCAAACTACTACTCTCTTCTTCCTCATCCTCTTCTTCTTCTGTAACCGCATTTTCAAAATTCTCGTCATCCAAAGCATCAGCCAAATCTTGCTCATCCACATCATCCTGTTGCCAAGTAACATTTGGGATTTCAAACAAGTCCTCATCATGGCCATCGATATGTAATTCACCTAATTTGTCAGCCATACTCTTCTCTAAAGCCGCCCAGTTTAAACTATATGTATCATCATCTCCAACGACACCCGCAGTTGTTGAGTCACTATATTGACGCAAATTAGATGAAGACCGTTCATTTTTCAATCTATTCAAACCAATATATGAATTCTGATGAGAATTGGATCTTGATCTACTTGGCAAATTAGCTTTTTCTTTGAATGCTGAAGATTCTGGTTCCAAGATTTCCACTGTGGCTAGATCTCCACTTCTGAGACTACTCGTACTATTTCCTCTAACGTGCATTGCTGGCAATCCCGCGACGTTCTTTACTGAATACATGGACGATTCGTCATCGAGATAAGGATTCGACTTGGCATCTAATGGAACCCGATCATTTTTGAATTTCTTGAATGCAGCGGTATTCTTTTCTTGTTGACTATTTAAATACAGATCAATATTAAATCTGAAATTTCCTGAACTTTTCGCTTTACGGACTTTAAGTCTAGCTTCGGTGGCATCTTTTTGAGCTTTGGTTAATAGCTGTTGTCTCAGTGGTTGTTGATGATTCTCGTCCGAATCATTCTCATCATTGACTAAAGTGGATGCATCATCATGAATTTTGTTGGATAATTGCAGATATGAAGAGCTTGAAATCATCTTTCTCTTTGGAGAACTTGTACCTGTTCCTTCGGAAGATACTGATATATTCAATTGTCCTTTACTGCTAATTGGATAACCTTTTGTCCTAAGAATTGCCGAGATATTCCGTTTAGAGCCAATGCTTCCAGAAGCTGAATTATGTCTTTTGATTCCAGGTGGGATTCTTTTATGAAATGAAACAGATTTGGGTAATCCTTTATGCATCAGTAAACTCTTGTGAACTTCACTATGAATGCTATAACTGATTCTATTATTTGTTGAAGTGATGATTCTCCCACGTAATAATGAAATCGCTTTATCTAAAGCAAATTCAACCCCACAATTATTATGAATAATTGAAACTTTTGGCCAAGCAGCTTTAGCACCACGACAGAAGAAATCTAATAAAAATTCTTCATTTGGGTTTTTGAATAAGTTTAATAAATCTAACATTTTATATTTGTGCATAATAGTAATATCCCCACTATAACTTTGTGATAATACCGCGATTACTTTACTCATTAATTCTTTACCAACATCCAATTCACCTAACATTTGCAAATAATGAACAATTTCTGAAGATACAAAATCATAAACGTTAGTTAATCCATGTTTTAACTTATGATGAAATTCTCCTTCAACATCTCCTCCTATATTATTAACTGAGATTCTCATAACTGAAACAACGTGGGGATTTACCTGTACGGCAACAATATGATCAACATTAAACATTTCTGAAAGTCTAGCTATTGGTAAATCATTTTCCACTGACCCATCGGTATATTTGGTTGATACATCATTATTCCATTCATGAATTTCATTAGTCTTGGGATTCTTCTCATATACAATACAAGAAGGAAAAATACCAGGTAATGAACAACTTGCACATACAGCTGACCAAATTAAACAATTAGGTGCAGTTAAATAATTTAATAATTTACTTTGTTCATGGATAGTACCTGGTGAAACACTAATATTCAAAATCTTACCAGTTCTATTATAAGCTTCTCTAAAGGTTAAATCACCCAAATAATTGGCCATAGTTCTTTGTAAACCCACAATATCAAATAAAGTACCATATTTAATGAAATGACCCAAATAATGTAACAATTGTTTAAATGTAGGTAAATTTGCAATATCTTCTTTATCTTCAACTTCAAAAATATCCCATTTATCTCTAGGAAAATTGGCCAAGATTTCTAAAGTTGCTTCATGAGAATAAGAACATAAAATACTAGCCATAATTGAACCTGCTGATGAACCACTAATAATACGAGGAAGAACATTATTTTCAAATAATGTTGCTAATACACCAATATGAAAAACACCAAATGTACTACCACCAGATAAAACCAAGGCAGTTCTACCAATATTTTTTCTAGTTTGAATCAACATTCCTAAAAGGTATCTATCATCTAAATCAACTTCTTTATTGTTAAGTAAATAATCTAAACTTACTTTACATTCTTGAATATATTCTTCAATTAATTTCTTAGTGCCAACATATGAATGTCTATATAAATGACTATCACCCATATTACCAAGATTTCTAACCCATTTTGTTCTAACCAAATATAATAATAATTTATAATCACCTGATAATCTTGCCTTTCTCATTTCTTGTAAATTATTATAAACTAACTCAAAATCATATAATTCTGATCTAGGATCTGATTTCCAAGTATTATTTCCCATTAATTCATCTAATTTTAATGAAATCTCTAACCAAGTTTGATAACTTGTAGCCAATTCTTGTTGTTCTAATAAATGTCTAATAAGTAAACTTTTCTCATTACGACCCCCAAAGAATCTATTTATAATTGGAAATGATTTAATCCAATTATAATTACCATTTGGTTGTTTTACTTGTGGTTTTATCTCATGATATTGTTCAAATAAGGCAGGTACAATTTCATTAAGTTGAAGTGGTCTTGGTTGTAATGGAATAAGGGCTAAACTATCTGACATCGTTGAATGATTATCTTAAAATAGATTATTTGCTGAGTTATTTTGTCTTTGAAATATTAGTTTTGATAATAATTATATAATTAAAGATGTTTTCTTTCTGTATATATATAAATGTACATAGTCTATCTATTTATCTGTTTTATTGTCTTTAAAGGTTTAATTATAAATTCCATTTGCATATGATAAATTTTTAATATGGTGGGGTTATTTATAAGGTTGCATTGTATGGAGGCTAAGTAGTAACAAATTAACAATAGACGGAAGGGTCGTGTACTATTGTACCCAAAAACAAAGTTCCCACTCTCTCTCTCTTTACTGCCTCTAACAAAAATTGGTTGCAAAAAACAAACCACAGTTGATTTCCATGTGATTTAGATGTTGCCAAATATAGCAACAGTGCACTACAAGCGAATAAACAGAGATTATGTCAATACATAGGTCAACCTGATACATACAATAGTAACTATGTAGTCATCTAGAACATTTAATGATCTTATAGAACAAAAAAGTACTAGAGAGTTTATTCCAATTTCATTGCTTACAGGAATAACAATGGTTGTTGATACATTAAAATCATAACTAATGGATGACTGCGAACGCATACTGCCTAGCAACAGAGCTTACAGGAGATCAGATGCAATCTCACTCCAAACAACTGGGTTGAAAACAAAAAGATGGATCTTCTCCCAAAACAACCATCTAAGTTGGGCAAGATGAAACCCAGATTTGCTGACAAAAGCATTCTCAGTACATCAATAATGCATGGTGAATCCCGCATTGTGTTGCACGATAAATAGGCCATCCCCCCACCCCCCCCTGTGACTAGCAAACTTCTGAAGTTAGTGTCTGTTGGTGCCGTAATCAACTTGTTTGACTTTTGAAGGTAGTCTTTCTAACCTTTAAAGTAACAAAACAGGGTCAGCAAGATTCTTCGGTTGTATATTTTTCATTATCAAGAACTCAAACATAAGGAGAAAGTATCATGTTTCACTGTTGTATGGTTTTGGTACATGTACTCTGTCCCTGTTACTCCTATTACTATATATGTTTTGATGTACAACGTGTAGGTTTTCCCAGAAGAATGACCTTCCTATTTAAAAAGTGGTTAGGATATCAATTTTCTCCAGTACCTGGTAAATGTCGGGCCCTTTCTCGACGACATAAACTGCGACATTGACCATCGCCGATAATTTTTTTTTAAGACTCACCTAGTTAATCAATTACCTGTAACTATCTGTGGTGATCAAAGGATTAAAAGTTCGATATCTTCAATAATAAATATCGAAGTTTGAGAGCTAAGTGCTATCTACGTGGTTTCCGAGGTGATTTCATTTAATAAAAATATAAGGAGATTCCATTTATCCTCCAAGACTATTAAAAAAATAGCCGTTCAAAAAAGGCATACTTCATCAGCACCTAGAGTAAATCCGGAAATGGAACAAGCTCCGGCAATTAAACAAGGTCAAATAAACCTACCCGCGCCGTTTTGTATGACTACTTTGCTTCATTTAACTGATGAAACTGCTAGACCTTTAATTAGCTTAAGTACCCACAAGGGCCGATATCTTTTTGGGAAAGTTCCAGAAGGTTCCCAACGAATTTTGAACACCTTCAAATTGCGTTATAATAATCTTAAAGGTATTTTTCTTTCAGGAACAATTAATTCATGGACAGATATTGGTGGTCTTGCTGGACTTTTCTTGACTATATCCGATGGAAGTTCTAAAGATGTGAATGTATTTGGTAATAGAAACTTAATTCAATATATTATTGCAACTTGGAGACATTTCGTATTTAGAAAAGGAGTTAAAATCAACATTACTGATCCAGAATCTGATCTAATACACGATGGCGAAGAAGTAAATATTTTCAGTATTAAAATTCCTAGGGATAAACCTACCCATACTACTCGCAGAGATAGGCAGAAAATCCACAATAGTGCATTAGATAAACTTATATCATGTATGTTCCCGATGGATACCAGTATTGTGAATAGCAAAGATCCAGAATCTTACACCAAGATAGATCCTAGCCTTCATACGTATGTTGATTTGCCGCCAGCTCCTCACGTATATCAATCACAAGAATCATACTCTTATTTGATACGAATTTTGCCTGCTCCCGGTAAGTTCAATCCTAAGGAGGCCATTGCTCTTGGGGTGAAGCCGGGTCCTTTGTTTAGACAGTTACAGTTGGGTCTGGTTGTATTGAATGAAGCCGGGGAAGAGGTCCATCCTCATCAAGTCATGGGCGAAAGCAGAAAATTGTCGAAAGTATTGGTTGTGGATATTCCAAATAATTTTTATTATGGCAATACGATTAAATGTAAAGAATGGTTTATCAAAGATGAAAAGAAAGGAGATGAAGATATTGGATTGGTTTATCATTTCTTGGGAGCTGATGTTGATTTCAATTTGGAAAAATATACAAAAGACTTCTTGTGTCAATTTCCTCAAGATACCCAACATGTCATTAGTCATCCTTCAATGACTAACAATACAATATTAAACATCCGTTCATCGTGTAATATTTTAACTTTGAAATCATTAATGAATGAAAATTTCAATGTAATAAACCTGGAGCCATACGTGCCTTTAAATCCAAATGATAGAATAACTAGGCTTCACGCCCTCCAAACATATTGTATAACCTATGATGGAATTCAACCAGATACCTCGGCCATTTTTGATGGTGACAGCGAACAGATTTATAAAGAGAAGGTTATTCCTTCACTTGAACCGTTAGATGTCCCTATTAAATCATTTTCAGAGTTGGCAAATAAGAAAATAGACTTCCTGTCAAGCAAGAGCAGTTCTTCGCTCAAAGACCAAGTTCAAGTTATTACCTTGGGTACTGGTTCATCTTTACCTACTGCGAGTAGAAACGTTACTGGAAACTTAGTAAGAATTCCATTCCGGAAGACCAAAGATTCTGATATAACTTTTAGAAGTGTTTTATTAGATGGTGGTGAAGCCACCCTTGGAAATCTTAAGAGAATGGTAGGTCCTAATGGATCTCAAGAGTTATTGAAAGAGTTGTCTTTGATTTTCTTGAGTCATTTACATGCGGATCATCATTTAGGTATTGTTTCCGTAATCAATGAATGGTTTGAAGTGAATCACGATGATGACGATGCCAGATTGCATTTGATTGTACCAGATGACTATATTATGTTCTTGGAAGATTGGTATTCATTGGAAGAGAACTACCATAAGTTTTATAATAAGGACAAGCTTCGTGTCTTCAGTGCAGAAGCGTTCGTACCTCCTCTGCGTGCGACCGGTCCAGTGAGACCAATTAGCTTGAAACAGTTTGAAAGAATATTTGATCTGGGTGAGAAACATGATGCTTTTCGTGTTCCAGTTAATGTTGATACTAGTGAAATTTACAAAATGTACGAATATATTGGGTTGAAGAGAGTTGAACTCGCCAGAGCTCATCATTGTGCATTTTCTTATAGTTCAGTAATGAAGTATAAACTTAGCAAGGACGAGAACTTTATTGTATCATATTCTGGTGATACGGCTCCAAACCCATATTTTGCATATATAGGATATGGAACCGATTTATTAATTCATGAAGCAACCTTTGCGAACTCTTTAGCTAAGGACGCATATGAAAAGAAGCACTCAACAATGATTGAAGCCATACACGTTGCGCTTTGTATGAATTGTCCCAAAATAATTCTTACACATTTCAGCTCAAGATTCGCAAACACTAATAATTGCATCAAAAGAACTAGGATGAAGGAGGCTGCTGAGCATGTTGAGCACTATATGAAAAACATGAGAAGAAGGTCAGAGATCTTTGATTTTGATATTAAATCGAACCCATTGAAATATTCAAAAACATACGATAATTTAGAGATATATTTTGCTTATGATTTGATGTCTGTCAGATACAGTGATATAAAATTACAAGAGAAATATTGGGATATTTTTGATGAAATATTCACGCCAAGTATGTTTGAAAGAGAAGTTGATGAAAATTTTGAAGAAGAAGGTGTACCTCCAAAAGATGCACCAGCAAAAAGACAAAAAATCACCGATCAATGGTACTGATAGAATTATGTTGGTAGTTTAACAAATGCCTGTTATGTAAAAAAAAGTAAAAGAATTCTTGTAATATAAACTAAAGATTTTATGTAAATAGAAACACTATATAAAGTTTGATAGAATAAGTCATTACTAAACTCATCTTGAAAGTTGTGATCAAAATTTCGATGATTTGTTATTAATTGTGTAGTAGTAAAGGGTGGGCAAACTGTATAAATAAAACCGTAAGATTACATTCGTGCTTTCGTATCTACATAAATTACTCTACATAATAATTACGTGCTTTATTATTTAATATGTATAGAAGGATGTAGATCATGTTAACTGCATGTGCACAGAGTTTCTACCTATTCTTCCAAGATCTACTGAACCTGTGAATCTATACGAATATTGAAAATACCCCACACGCTTATATGGTTTGAATTTTTTGCAGCCATCTCACTAGGAAAAAACCGGACTACCAGCTGTAATGTGAGTTGCAACATTGTTCACCACGGACATTTATTATTTATTCAAGTCCAAAAAAACGTCTGCAATACGATGCACGTCGGTGTGATATGACAGAAATTAGTTTCTTGCATTGGTCCAACATATCTGATCATTATCGCTTTTATTCCACACAAGGCAGGTGATAGCGAATCGTCATTGACAATTTCGAAATCTCAAATGACTATACACCGAGACAAGTTCTACAGTGAATTTCATCAATAGTACGAAAATCGTGTCTAACTAAAAAATTAACAGAAAGGGAACTCTTGACTTTGAGAAAATGGTCTAGTGTGAATATCACCAACTGTTCCCACAAGTCGGGAGGAAGTAATAAACATGGAATTTCTGCTTTCAAATGAGAGACACGGTACCCAGTGCTGATGAATTAAACTGCAGGGGACTGGATTCTTCAAATGGATAGACATCTGTTATTTTTTGAGTATGCAGATTACGCCAACTTGCTGATCAATCCAATGCAAAGGGGATGGAAGAACGATTCACAACGCTAATGATAGCTCCCAAGATCTTGCCAAATGACTATCTAAAGAAGAATAAGTAGGTAGCGCGAAACGACAGGTGGCTACCAATCTAAGGAAGTTTCGACGCCACATTAGAAAATACGCGTCATGTTTGGTGGGGTTGGAAAAAAAAAAGAAGAGAGCCATGAGTTGGTTACACCCCATCATATTCTAACCCAGACAGACTATGATAGAATTGGAAACCTTCCCTTTGATACTACAACATAACTGGTTAGCAAATGAAGTAATTCATTCAATAAAATCAACACCATATTCAAATACGATTATCAAGAAAAATTTTGAACCAACGTTACTTAAAGTATCACCAATCTTAAGAATATGTAAATTTCTTAGAGTAACCAATAAAAATGATGTGACTGTCATACTAGCAGATTCCACCCATCGTATCTTAGCATATTTCCCATTTATACCTACTGTTGTAGATTTTGAGAATAAGTATTGTCAGAGAATAACATATCATACTATCAATAATTTAATTGATATCAAAAGAGCTAATTTACGATTTATTAATACGAATGATTTGGAAAGAGATTACGGATTTAAAGAATCTAGGAACTTATCCATTGCTATACTTGAAGTTCTTGAATTTGAATTATATCAACGAGATCCAATTCTGTTTACTTCTGATGTTGAAAATAAGATTACTTTTGTTTATGATGATTTGAGATATGAAGAACTTTGTAAGAGTGACGTTAATCTTCAATTTGATGATTTGATGGAAAGCGCAATTGCTGGATAAAATAGTTGGCATTGATAGGGAGTTACTGCTGTGATTATTTTTAGGGGAATTACGGGGTCATGGTTTTCAAGTTTTGTTTTTTTTGGCAGCTTTTTTTGGCAGCTTTTTTTTTTTGCAACCCATTTTTACTTTCTTCAACCAAACCCATCCACTTCTTACAAAGAGATGTTATTTAAACAAAGGAGTAGAAATCAGATGACTGAAGAAGATTCAGAATCAATCGATCGTCGCTCGATTCATAGTCATGCAGCTAGTCATCATTCAGGTGGTATTGGTGAGAGAGAAGATCTTTCCCGTCAATTAGATGAATTGGCAGTCAATGCCATGTACTATTCAGAGGGTCATTCACCTCATGATGGCAGTCATCATACTGCAGTTGCTACTATTCCCCCATATCTGAGAGATGCTGTTATATCAACTTACAATGGCCCTTTCGGATGTTTTAGAAGATTGTTTGGTTCTCGACAACAACAACGTCAACATGCAGAAAGACTGCCATTGATTCCAGTATATCATGTTGGAACATCTCCTGCTGAAACTTCTGCAGTTGGTTCAAACGTTGGAGATTTCTTACGAAGATGGATCTTTGGAAGAATAAGACGTCAATATCCTAATACGTATACTTTCACTTTGGCCAGTTTTCTTACTTTCTTATTGGTGTTTGGTATTCTTGGTCTTTATTATACTGGGAATTTGGCAGTTTTGACTATTATAGCCAGAACTTTAATCTGTCAATTGATGGAAACTTTCCAACCAGCAAGTTTACCATCCTTCTGTCGTTGATACATGCAGCGGCTAATGTGTCTTTATTCTTATTTGCTATAGATTTATAGATTTATTGTGTCAAAGCTTGGATTAAATTTTGTGTTTCAGAATTACAGGTAATATGTAATGTATTAATTAATATATATATACAAGGGATTAGAAAGAGTACTACTTTACACCTCTATTTTTCTCTTCTATCTTTTACCTTCATCTTATTAACATGTTTATGAGTTCTAGTCTTCTTGAATTTCAAAAGACCCCACATAGATTGAGTTTGTTTATTAGATTTAGATTTACCTCTACCACCACCATGAGGATGATCAACAGCATTCATAGCCACCCCTCTAGTTATTGGTCTAATACCTCTATATCTCGCTCTACCAGCTTTACCCATCATACTTAATTGATGTTCTTTGTTTGACACTATACCCAAAGTAGCACAACATCTTGAGTCAACATAACGATGTTCTCCAGAATTTAATTTCAAAACACATTTTTGAGTTGTTTCATTTTTAGAAAGAACCTTGGCAAATGTACCTGCAGCTCTCATCAATTGACCTCTTCCACCAACATGTAATCCAACATTATGAACAATGGATCCAACTGGTAACATTGAAAGTGGTAAACAATTACCTCTTTGTAAAATTCTTGCAGATAATAAGGCATCATCAATTTCACCATTATTATGTTCATTCATTTCTTCAATGAAATCTTTAGGAATACCTGCTCGGAAAGATTCGACAATATCTCCTTGTCTTAATCCTTGAGCTGCCAAAATATATGATAAATTTCCTGTTTCTAGGTGTTTAAGCAATGCAATATGACCAGATCTAGTTGGATCATATTCAATTCTCATGACTTCTTGTTTACCCGCTTTCAAACGGAATGAATCCACAATTCTTGCTCTTCGTTTATGACCTCCACCTCTACCACGAACGGTAATTTTACCAGTATTATTTCTACCACTATTTCTGATTTTTACTGCGGTTAATTGTTTAATTGGACGTCCCTTAAATAAATGGTCATGTATTGGTTTGGCATAATGGGTAGAACCAGGAAATGCGTGACCTCTGGCAAGAGTTTTCATTTTGATTTGAACTCTAGCTAATTCTCTTTGTTTCATATATTTAATATGAGCAATTTCTAATTCAGTATCTTCACTATCATGCTTTGGTGCACTAGTTGAATTAAAACGTAATAATCCATTGGTGATCAATGCAGCGTTGTTGGAAGGTAACTTGGTTTTACCAACCAAGCATCTATTAACCCAACTTATCATCATAATTGTGTTTAGCTGCTATCAAGATGGGTTCTTTGTAGTCTTTGAGATTCTTGATTTGGCGATTGAAAAATTTTGATATAATTTTCCAAAGGTAGTGTAAATTGATACAATTACGGGTATGAAATATACTTAAGCATTCAGTGTAATTTACAGTATTAATAAATATTAGTTTGACCAATTGAAAATCACCAGAAAAAAGATTGAAAAATGAGAACGAAATCGGCAATACCAAGTTTCCATAGTGTAGCAAATCATTTAATGATCAATTATACACGACCATAGTTAAGGGTTTTACTTACTTTCAACAAAAAGTTTTTCAATTAAATATCAACGCTTTCAATTGATAATTCCATTTAGTTCCCATTCAAACCATAACTTATAAACAGAAAAGATGATGGCTTCTCGTGTTTTCACCCGTTCCATGGCTTCTGCAGCTAAGTCCGCCAAACCACCAATTCAATTATTCGGTCTTGATGGTACTTATGCCAATGCCTTATATTCTGCCACTGTACAACAATCTTCAATGGATGCTTCCTACAAAGCTTTAGGTAAGATTGCTCAAGCTATTAAGGATGATTCCAGGTTAGCCACTGTTTTATCTAACCCAGCTTTAACTAAGAATGATAGAGTTGCTATCGCTGAAGGAATTGCTGAAAAATTGAAATTAGATAAGACTATTACCAATTTCTTAGCTGTTTTAGCTGAAAACAATAGATTAGCTAACTTTGGCTCAATTTATGAAAAGTTTGCTTTATTAAACGATGCTCACAATGGTGTTGTTGTAGCCAAGATCACTTCTGCCAAACCATTAGATTCTAAAATCTTGAATAAATTACAAGCTTCAATTGGTAAATCTTCCTTTGTTGGTGCAGGTAAGACCTTAAATGTAACTAACCCAGTTAACCCAGAAATCTTGGGTGGTTTGATTGTTGAAGTTGGTGACAAGACTGTTGATTTATCTATTGCTAGCAAAGTTTCCAGATTAAACCAAACCTTACAAGAAAGTTTATAAGCATGATTGCATTTTGAAAGAAAGAAAAGAACAAGAAATCATTTATTCATTTCCCATCTTGATTTGAGAAGAAGTATAACGAAGTATTTGAAGTGAGAGAGACAAGAGTTGTATTTTTGAAAGGATGAAATGTCTTTTATAATTCATGAAAAGGAGGGATAAGGAAGGGTCTATTTGAACGAATTCTGATAGGCTTTTGTCTAATTGAAGTCCTACCCGAAGAGATATTATTACATTGCAAGGTATTTCATTCCATTTAGAAATGGTTCCATATATTTCCCATTTGATTTATTCTTTATATTTTTTTATTATATATACACAAATTATACATTTATTTATTCCCATTGGAATTTCAAAAAAACAATATAAAAAGCAGAAATTTAGAACTTGTCCGTAGTAAACATAAAAGAATTGTACTTCTCTTATTGTAATCTCTTCTTTAATGTTTTTAAAGTTGACTTGCTTTGATTATGCCTCGGGATGGTATTAAATTTTCCCCCTTACAATATTTAGCAGCAACTGAAAAATATTATAAACTTGGCAGTGGCAGTGGAGTGAGGCCGTAATTTTTTTCTATAAGTTAAAAGATGATTGAATGGTTTAATATATTTCCCTTCTTTCTACTTAATTAACAATGATTCCAAAGGCAATTCGAACGTTTGTCAATGTCTTAACAATTGTTACATTGGCATTGAATGTATTTGTATATTTCTATCCTGATATAATCAATAAATCCAATCAATGTGATTGGCATCAATTCAATTCAAATCCATCTGATCATCAGATCTTAAAGACCAATCTTGGATTCTTGAACACATTATTACCTTCAAACATAGTTCACAAACTAGCCCTCAACTTCGCAACATTAAGACTGCTGGAAACTAAACAACCATCTCCACTAGAATCAATTCATATGTTAACATTTGGTGATCCCCAGATTAATGGTAATTGGCCATCTACGAAATATATTAAACGATTAGATAATTATGGAAATGATTATTATTTAGGACATATTTATAATACCATGAAGAATAGATTGAATCCAAGTCATGTTGCAGTTATGGGAGACTTATTTTCATCTCAATGGATCTTTGATTCGGAATTTTATAATAGAACATATAGATTTGTTGAACGATTATTCCCTCGACCATTGGAATATAAACAAACTGTAATAGATACTTATAAAAAACATGAGAATTATGATTGGCAAGGTTGGTTAGCTCAAGAACGTGATATGGATCCTATGGCAAGATTCAAATCTCGTGTTTATAATGATGTTTATGATTGGACATATCCTGATCGTAAAACTCCAAATTTTCAAAATCCGTTATTTATAAATTTGACGGGCAATCATGATATTGGATATAGTGGTGATGCTACTTGGCAACATATGGCTAGATTCCATCTCTTATTTGGACAAAATAATTATGTTATAAATTATAATCAAGGAACACCCCAAGAATGGAGATTGGTTGTATTAGACTCATTAACATTGGAAGGACCAGCTTTACAAGAAGAATTTATAACTTATACTCAATCATTCTTGGATCATTTGCGAGACATAGAAAATCCAAAATTTAAAGGTGCCACTATTTTATTAACACATATTCCAATGTATAAAATTGCTGGATTATGTCATGACGGACCAGAACATATTTATTATGAGAATTATGAAAGAGAACCTTATAAGAATGGGAAACTTAGGTCTCAAAATCATTTATCTTATGAAACTACTCAACGTGTCTTAGATATTGTCTTCCCCAATCATGATCAAAATGGAATAATCTTAACCGGACATGATCATGAAGGATGTGATGATTGGTATAATTATATCAATGGAGAATGGGTTGCCTCTAAACAAAAATCCGAAACTACTGAAGGAAAGCCAATTAGAGAAATCGTGGTTAGAGCAATGATGGGAGAATTTGAAGGACAAACTGGAATAGTTACTGGAGAATTTAATAATACTGAAAACAAATGGCAATTTGAATTTAGTTATTGTTCATTTGTAATTCAACATTGGTGGTGGGCTAGTAAGATTACCCTTTTTGCTACAATACTTTTCCAATCCATTATTAGATTGTTTTAGTTTAGTATAAGTCACATTTTTGTTTTATTTTGTACTTGTTAATAGAAAAAGAATACTACATTTTTGTCAGGGAGTCTGTATAAGTGTTTTAGCGTCAACTAATTGTGTGAACGTGTGATCAGTCGCCGTTTTCTTTCTCTGCTTCAGTTGCTTCATCCGCTTTGGTGTCTTCTTTACCTTCTTCCTTTACTTCTTCTTTGGATTCTTCCGTTTCCGGTTCCTTTTCTTCTTCTGCTACAGGCTTCACATCTATATTGCTTTCAACTTTTGGCTCCTCTTTTGTTTCTTCTGCCACTGCTTCTTCTTTTGCTTCTTCTGCTACTACGGCTTCTTCTTCCTTCTTTTCTTCTAAACCGTTCTCGGACTTCTCTTCCGTGTTACCGTTATTAGAAGACGCATCTCCTTTAATAAACTGTTCAACTTCAGTTTTTGCCCCATCAATACTTGCTTCAGGAGAGATTTGAATTCTTTTAACTTTCAAAACACCATCAACAAAGATCCAATGAGATCTTTTAATCCCAGAAGGAGACTTTTTAGCACCCAATGGCCCAATCAATTGTTTGGAAGGATCACATAATAAAGAATATTCTAATTTTTGTTTAACTTGAAAATTCTTTTGTGCTTTTGGAGAATCAGAACTTAATCCAAATACAGTCACATTGTTATCCTTCAAGAATTGATAATTTCTTTGGAATCCACATGCTTGTCTTGTACATCCTGGAGTTGATGCTTTTGGATATGCAAAGATAACTAAATATTTTGCAGTTTTTGCAACCTTACCCAAATCAATTTCATTCTCATCTTGGTCAAATAATGTAAGCTCTGGTAACTTGTCACCAATTTGTAATTCCTCGGAGGAAGAAGAAGATTCTGTGGTGGCGGTGGTGGTGGTGGTTTTAACAGTGCCGGTGTTAGCTGCCTTTTTAGGCTTTTTGACTACTGGTTGTTCATCGTAAGTGATTGGTTCAGGAGCTGGTCTAGCAGCAACTCTTGCAGAACGACGTAATTCAGGCATTGAGAGTAATAATGATTTTACTAAGTGTTCAATTGAATAATTCTTACAAGAAATTCTCTTTTTACGTTTTATGAATCGGCGTTTTAAACTTTAAGGAGATTATAAGACAGAGAATGAAATGGGCGTTTAACTTTTGAAGGAAAAAAATTAATACTGTGGAGTAAAAAGCCTCCCAAAATTTTTCACTTTTTTTTAGGGGGGGAAATTGATCAAAAGAGAAAAGGGGGGCCAATTGTGTCGGGTAATAACAAAGCGTAAAATCCGAGATCCTTAGTTCTCGCGCGGATATTGGCGACTCGATTCTAGATGTACAATTTCATTCTATAAGAGTTACCATAGGGCTTGTAGAAAGGGTTAAATCAAAGCTTGGATGATGAAGCAGTCTTCCAGGTAATTTTGAGGATCAATTTTACATCTTTATAGAGACAGCGGATAGGACTGGTCTATGGATGAGTTGAAAACGACTATTGTGGCTCTGGTAAGCCATTGACGTTGAACAATGTTTTTTTCAAACCAATAGCATTGAAGAGATAATCATAAGAATGCCCAACGTTGACATTTACTCCTATTGAATGGACCTACAAAGATGCCCCTCTATGTCAATGAAAGGCATGATAAATAGCTTAGAATTGCTATTTCCGCCCTTGAAACAAAATTGGAACCTTCTCATATTGGGGAATACTGCGAATTGAATAATGGACAATTTTCATCATTATCCAACATATTTCAATATACTAACAATAGTCATGATGTGATAGAATTAGTGATCTGTGTTGGGTCTATGGGTGAGTCTAGATTTATTTTGTATTTTTTTTGGTGTAGTTGTTGTTGCAGAAAATTTGCAGCATTATTTTAGACTCCCAGATTGCGAAAAAAATTGTAATTAACTCTAACTTCATTTATCTTTTTCCTTTTTGTCTTTCTGTGTTCACAAACAAATGTACCAATTCAATAATATGCTCCAATCAACATTCCTACATCTTATAAATCAATCAAAAGGTGTCCTTAAATGCTCCAAGAACTATGCTTGGTGTGAAGAAATTGTTAGAGGGAAACTAGAACTAATTGGCTCAATCCAACCACAGAAATGAAATTAAACCACAGAAACAACAATTAAAACTTCATCCAACAACGATCAACATCTCAATATATGACTACTCCTTTATCAACAAACATATACCACTACTACCTGATTAAAGTTAATTATGAAGCTTCCTTCCTTCCTATCAAGATTTTAAAGATTCAACAAAGAACTGGAATTGGAATTGAGTACAAATGGAAAACTCATGAATCACCCAATTCAACTATCATTCATCCTATTCCCCCTCAAACGAAATATCCATTGATATATTTACTATTATCTTTCCAATCTGCTCCTCCACATTTGATTGATAATTTACTTTTAAATCAAAGTTTCTATTATGTCACAAGCACAATCACAAACACAAACACAAAAATCCCCCCAAAGAAAACATAACATAGAGAGGAATAATAGGTGGTAATACAACTGGATTTCAAGGATCTGTGTAATCCTTTCATACTGAATTAGCCACTTGACCAATGGTTGGTTTGTGTGATGGATTTTTATCTGATTTCTGAAGAAGAAGGCTTTACTTAATCTAGGTTGGATTAAGTATGAAGAATGGGATTCAGAATTTGGTTTTCATTTCTATGATACTGGTAGAATTTGAGAGGAATTTGATGTGGATTTCAATGGTAGTGATATACTTTGGGAAGAATCACAAGTCAAGTTCAATGAAGCCGAAGACTTGGTAGTCCTGGACAATTTTGAAAGAAGTTAGACTGAACCTCATAGATCGGGGCAATTTTTCATACTGAATTATCCACGGACCAATGGTCAGTTTGTGTGTTGGATTTGTTATCTGATTACAATGGAAGAAGGTTTGACTCAATCCAGGTTGGGATGAGAGAATGCAATGTGTGATCAAGACTTGGATTGGGAATTCAAGTTTTGGGAATGGGCAATTTCAATGTTGTTTTTGATGGAGACTTGAATTGTGGTGATGGAGATTTCAGAGTGGGTATCAATGGAGGTGATGCATATTTCAATGTCATTTTCAATTGTGGGGATGGAGATTTGAATGAGGGTTTCAAAGAAAGGGATGTATATTTCAATATCATTTTCAATTGTGGTTGGGCATTTCAAAGTGGGTATCAATGGACCTGATTGGATTTTGTTTTTGATTTCAATTGTGGTGATGCGGCAGTTTCAAGAGTGGTGGTGTAGATTTTCATTTTGATGATGGTGGTATAAAAATGTCCATGTTGTGACTTTAATTTGGATTTTGATGTTGGTGGTGGAGACCTCGATTTGCATTTTGGTGGCGAAGGTGGAAGAGTTTGAATATTGGTGACTTTCGTCTGGATTTGGGTTATGGTGTTGGAAGCATATATATTGTTTGTGGTGGCGGTTTGAATTGGGGTTTTGAAGATGTTGGTGGAAGAATATCAATTTTTTCATGGAGATTTGAATTCGGCGGTGGTGAAAGAATTATCATGATTCGTGTGGATTTATCGTTCATTTGCAGAGAATATAATACGTAGTTGACTGAAGAAGATGTGGTGGTGGTGATATAGTTTGGAGAGAGGTTGACTGCATTTCATGGATTAGTGCAGTCCTGCATACTGAATTAGTCACCTGGCCATGGTTGGTTTCTGTGGTGGAGTTTTAATCTGATTTCAAGGGAGGAAGGTTTGACTTACTCTTTGTTGGAAAGGAAAGAAATGTGAGATTCAGCATTTGATGTGGAATTCAATGGTGGTGAGAGATAAATTGGTATTTCCCCGATACAATTCAGAGTGAAAGTGATGAAGTTTGGGACGATAGCGAAAATAAGGACGCTGTAGATTCTGAGGAACGTTCGTGGATGGTAAATATTTGCCTCGATGAATTAAATTGAGCCCTGGAGATCTCTACGAGGCAAAGTTTTATAGTTGACATCAAGGATCGCGTGAACTTAAGTAACAGAACCCCGATTTTTAAGTCCTCCGACAGCAATCGAGAGATGACGCCCTGTTTCCTCGTAATTATTAGCTTTTATCTTCAGAACTAGCTACTCTAGGTAGCATTTACGCCTTGTTTTGTTCCATATTGACGACAAAAGAAAAGGTAAGATTGTTTGTTATCATTTTCATTAACCCGCGAAGGTGCAATCCCGCGAAATGGTAGCGGGCTTTACCTCTGTTAAGCTTCTCTAGGGTATTCGTTGCTCTTTCTCTGTCTCTATCAAACTAACCCTCGGAATTTTTTATTGGTCACGTGCAGTTGGGCCGGATTTATTTTTTTCTTTTTCATTCTCAAATTCATCAAAATGGCAATACAATATGCAAAACAGAAGGTAAACAAACCCCAGATCAAACTCCACAAATGGCAGTAGCTGAAGATACAAAACTGGAAGCAAACACTCCTCTACCAACTACTCCAATAGCATTAACAACCAAGGAGGTTGAAGAAGATGAATCCAATCAAGAAATCAAATTTAAAGAAGATGACATTTTAATTGGTTGTAAAGTCTATGTTTCAAAAGATGGTGAATATAGATTAGCAGAAATCTTACAAGAACATTTAAAAAAGGGAAAGAAAGTGTTTTATGTCCATTATCAAGAGTTTAACAAAAGATTGGATGAATGGATCAATACTGATAGAATAGATTTCAAAAGAACTATGGTTTTACCACAAGTTAAAACTGAAAAAGATGAAAAGAAGGATGGTAAGAATAAGAAGAAAAGTAATAGACTGAAGGCACAACTAGCGTCTAAATTAACTAGTCAACGATCTGTAAATATGGAAAATACAGATACTGCTTCTGCACCAGATACTCCAACACCAACCATGGGAGAAGATGAAATGGATTTAGAAAATTTAAATGTTCAAGGATTGAAAAGACCAGGAGAAGAAGTTTCAAGAGAGGATGAAATTAAGAAATTAAGAGTTGGAGGATCAATGACTCAAAATCATCTGGAAGTAGCGAGAGTTAGGAATTTATCTTATGTGATTTTGGGTGAACATATTATTGAACCATGGTATTTTTCACCCTATCCTATTGAATTAACTGAAGAAGATGAAATATATATTTGTGATTTTACATTATCATATTTTGGATCTAAGAAAAGATTTGAAAGATTTAGATCTAAATGTTCAATGAAACATCCACCGGGGAATGAAATTTATCGAGATTCAAAAGTTAGTTTTTGGGAGATTGACGGTAGAAAACAAAGAACTTGGTGTAGAAATTTATGTTTATTAAGTAAACTATTTTTGGATCATAAAACTTTGTATTATGATGTTGATCCATTTTTATTTTATGTGATGACAATTAAATCTGATCAAGGACATCATGTTGTGGGATATTTCTCTAAAGAAAAGGAAAGTGCTGATGGATATAATGTTGCATGTATTTTAACTTTACCATGTTATCAAAAGAAGGGATATGGGAAACTTTTAATTCAATTTTCATATATGTTATCTTATGTAGAACATAAAGTGGGGTCTCCGGAAAAACCATTATCGGATTTAGGTTTATTATCTTATAGAGCCTATTGGACAGATACTTTAGTTAAATTATTAGTGGAAAGAAATAATCCAAGTTTATATCGAAAGAATAACCCTAACGCTATTGAAGATACCGCAGAGCCAGAAACAGGTGGTTCAAGTCCACCAGCAACAACAGTTTCTCAAAGTGGTAGACAAGGTAATGCAAGTGAAATCACAATTGAAGATATTTCTTCAATTACTTGTATGACAACTACTGACATTTTACATACTTTATCAACATTACAAATCTTAAGATATTATAAGGGACAACATATAATTGTTATAACTGATCAGATTATGGCATTGTATGAAAAATTGACTAAAAAAGTTCGAGAAAAGAAGAAACATGAACTTGATCCTCGATTATTGAATTGGACTCCGCCTACTTTCACAGCAAATCAATTGCGGTTTGGCTGGTAGATTGGTATGATGTTCTTTTGTATTATTACACGACCCATCGTCTGGGCTATATAAATAGTTATATCTGAAGAGGCAATCGCCTCTGTCTAGACTATGTATACTTTTAATGAATTAATGTTTCGAAAATCTATGCATTCGTATTCCCCCAAATCTTTATACTCTTATCACCTTCGCATGTAATTAATCTTAGTCCCAGGACATCAAACGTTGATGCATATATAGCTGATTCTGTTGATCCTTGGACGGGTGGAGTAGTTCCACTTTGGATCAAATCACCATTAATATAATCATAAAATTCCATTTTCCCATCATCATAACCAGCAAATAAAGTATTTGAAACATGATTAATAGATAATGTATTTATAATCTTACTCCTGCCATCCTGGGGCGGCTTTTCAAATTCATTCAATAATTGACCTTTTGGTAATAACCATTGTTTTATATTCCCATTAGAATCCCCAGAACAAAATGTTAATTCTTGAGGATGTAATTTCATATCTCGAATCGATTTAATATGATGAGTTAAACAAACTTGTGTATTTTGTTTTCGTAAATCCCATAATCGAATAGTGCCATCCATAGAACTTGAAATCACTTGAGGATCAATCAATTGACTTTCAATCGAAGAAATATCATTCGAATGTCCCACTAATGTCATAATCTCATTTCTTGATCGGATATCCCATACTCTAATCACAGAATCTCTCCCCCCAGTAAATAAAATATTCAATTCCGGATGGAGACTCATGGCATATATCCCACCCACATGTCCATGATAATTCCTAATCTGACAACCTTCTATTGCATTTGTTCGTTCTAAATCCCAACATCGGATTGTCTTATCTTCAGATCCAGAAAATAAGTAGGGAAATCTTTTTGATATGACTAAAGAACGTACTCCCATAATATGTCCAGTTAAGGTAGCTTTGAGTTGGGATGAAGCTAGATCCCATATTTTGATTGTGGAATCTGATGAGCCGGTGACGTACCATTGGTTGGTTATTTCGTCTATGGCTATTGAACGGACCCAACCTTGATGAGCACCTGCTAATGTTCGTATTAGTTTCCAGTTGTTGTTGTTACTTTGTGATGTGGTGGCGACTTGACCCGAGGGTGGTAGCGTGTCTTCTTGTTCCACCTCGTCTTCTTCTTCTTCCAGTTGATAGTTGTTGATTGAGTTGTCATGGTTTATATTCTTGAGTATGTGATCTAATTTTACATTATTGTACATAGCTTCTGCCATTGTATCCTCTTCTGGAATTATATCATCATCCTTATAAGGGATAGGTATATCTTCATATGATGTCATTGTATTTCTCCTGTATCAGGAAGTTTAAAGAAAGAGATGGGGTGAATTTGGCTCATCCCGTTATATGAGGATATGGAAAAAAAGGTACACCCATAATACAATCTTTCATCAAACCAGCCAAGTTGGGAATGTTAGAATTAATTAAACAATTGTATGAGATTTTAATAACTTCGAAGAAAGTCTATAAGATCATTCAAGTGATTCCTTTTAATGATGAGAGCAAGAATGATTTTATAACTTTTGAAGATAATTATGAAGACACTTTAGATATTGGTATGACCAAATCAACCTATTTAAGATTGTTTAAACAATGTCATGACTATTGGCATTTATTAGTAGACAGAAGTAACAATGACTATGAAGAGTATATTAATCAATTGGAAGATAATGATCAATTACAAGAATTATATTTTATGACATTAGGATATTTAATAACAACCAATGAAAATACAACAATGATTCGATTACATGAATTAATTGTATATAAAATGTATCAACAACGAGATATACAATTCCTTATACAAGAATTGGATATAATATCATCAATCTTATGTTGTCGATTGAAACGTATTAATAAGAGTTCTTCATTATGGCATTGGTTAAAGAAATTAACAATTGTATGTATTTATCATAACAACAAGGACAATTCCATTGAATTATATAAACAAATTATACAAAGAGCATTCAAGAGTTGTGAAATACATTATGCTAATTATTATGCCAACAATTATATACGATGGATCATTAGAATTAATTATATGTCTAACTTAACAAGTCATAATGAAATTGTTGCAAATAAATTACTAAAAGCTTGTAGATCAAAATTAAGTGATTGTTCATTATGGAATAGTTTAAATGTTTATTTCATTGGATTATCGAATGATTCAATAAATGAATTCATTAAGAATGATTATAATAGAATTGCTACATCTTTAANTAAAAGCTTGTAGATCAAAATTAAGTGATTGTTCATTATGGAATAGTTTAAATGTTTATTTCATTGGATTGTCGAATGATTCAATAAATGAATTCATTAAGAATGATTATAATAGAATTGCTACATCTTTAAACAAAGACTTAACCATGTCTATTGATTCAATAGACTTGCCGCATCATAGCACTTATATTGATCATGGTGCTACCATATGGAATGAATTTGACTGGTTAATTAAAGTTGATTGTTTACTAGTAACACCATACAAGATGTTAATACACTCAACTAATGATGAAGTGTTAATAAGTAAGATGAAGTTATTAGTTTTATCTAGTGAGAGTGTAGCATCTTTACATAAATATTTCAAGGATTAAATAATCAATCATACATTTTCTACAAACCTCCACCCTCTTTAGTCTTTAAAGGGTAAAGAAGGAAAAAACCTTAAAAATCAATTTAAGTACACATCCAAATCAGTTTTGATTATAAATTATTTACAGTAGTTACAACGCTAGTAGTATTTAGTATTAGTTCTATAGGAGAAGGATGTTAAAGATTCGTCAGATACAAAAGAAGAAACAAGAAGAAGCAGCTGCTGCTGCTCGTGAAGCCAACGGCAATCAATCCCCAAAAGATGCACACGCGTCATCTTCCACATCTTCCACAGCCAGAGTAAGTGCAGCTCAATTAAGAGTTCAAAAAGATTTAACTGAATTAGATTTACCCAAATCCATCAAAATAACATTCCCTAATTCCAATGATTTTTTTAATTTTAATTTAAGGATAATCCCTCAAGAAGGATATTATAAAAATGGGAAATTTCAATTTAAAATTGAAATTAATAATAATTTTCCAATTGATCCACCAAAAATTAAATGTTTAAATAAAATATATCATCCAAATATTGATTTAGATGGGAATATATGTCTTAATATCTTAAGAGAAGATTGGTCCCCGGTATTATCGTTAAATTCGGTTTTAATTGGATTAAATTTCTTATTCTTGGAACCAAATCCCAATGATCCTTTAAATAAAGATGCGGCTAATATGTTGGTTAAAGATAAATTACAGTTTAAAAGAAATGTTGAGAATTCAATGAGAGGTGGGTATATTGATCTGACTTATTATGATGATGTTCTTAGATATTGACCTGACCTTGCACATACACTACGATTCTATGTATATATGTATAGATAGGGAGAGAGAAATTTGCATATCCTGGGAGTGATGGGTTAATTCCATACACGTATGGAATTATCTGTACCTCCACTAATAAATACACATCTCATTCTTTGTTGAATATCTCGTAGAAGTTGTTCTTGTGTTGTTGTATCTGTTTGTTTCAGTCCATTCTCTTGTGGTTTAGCTTCATCATGAGGATTGTTCTCTTTTCTCTTTAATAATCGAGCAAAATCGATTGAACTAACAAATCCTTCATGTCCTTTTAATGTTCTTATATTATCTATTTTACCCGATATATTCAATGTAGATAAATCCCATACTTTAATAGTTTTATCATCACTTCCACTAAAGAAGAATTTCCCATTAGGATGGATTGATAAACTTTTAACCCAAGACAGATGTCCTATTATATCTGAAATTAACCAAGCTTGTGAATTATTATATTGTGAAGGTTGTGGTGGTCTATGAGGTGATAATATTGGCGGGGGTAATAACCATAATTTAATTGTATTATCTCTACTGCCGGTTAAACAATATTTGAAGCCCAAATTTATGCCATAGATACTACTAGTCTCGAGTAAATCTAATGGGATTGATGGGAAAAATTCTGAATTCAGTTTTATATATGAATCAATTATATGATTTGAATGCATGGGTAAGAATTTAACCGTTTCAACCACATGAGTATGACCAATTAATACTGCTAAACCAATTCGAGAATTTATATGAGATAATCTTGCTGATTGATCATTTGAACATGTCAATATAAAATCCCCCAAAGAATTATCAGTTGTTTTCAATGCTTGTAACAGTATTGTATTATTAATTGATATAACATCTAAATCTCTTACCCAATCACTATGACCAATAAAACTATTTATACAAATCCCATTAATTAAATCCCATATTTTGACTGTTTTATCTCGTGAAACTGAATATAATATAGTACTATTGTTACTACTAAATTTGATTGATGATATTGTATGTTCATGACCGGTTAATGTTCTTATATATCTATAATTGGCTTCATCCCATATTTTAATTGTTAAATCAGATGAACATGATGCAAATATATATGATGGTTTCGTATGAGGTGCCCCTGAAGTCAAATTAACTGGTTCTAAAGACCATTCTATTGCATTGACGGCTTTAGTATGGGCTCTTATAATCTTTTCCGGGATAGAATCTTCATCACTTGCCATATTCCATACATATATTGAACCATCATTACATCCACAATATATATTTGGTAAAATTGGATGGATCTTGATTGTATTTATTAATTGATTAGATTGAGTTATGAATGTCCTTGAACATGTCAGCGGTAACCAATTTATTCTATCCTTGGATATGACATGTTTATTATTGTTGTTGTTAGTGTCAGATACATCAAGTATTGATCGTAGATTATGAACTTCATTTTCTAAATCAATGATTTTCTTTTGAAGTCTTAATACTGAAGACCATTTCTTTTCTAAATAATTAGAAACAATTTCATTATTAGCTTGTTGATCTACTTGTAATATAGTACTTAATTGGTTTAGTATGTTCTCTTGTTCTCCTTGTTGTTGTTGTTGTTGTTGTTGGTTGTTGTTGTTATTGATTATTGGTTCAAGATATTGAATTATTGATTTATTTAATTCTTTCTGTTGTCGCTCTGTAAGAATCTGCGATCGAATCATTGTGAGTGCTTACTGTGGTAAGTGTAATATATATATATCTTTTTATTTATACTAAGTAAGGATCAACAGTAGTGATTAATATCTTTTTCTAAATCGTTTCAAAGTTGATGATACAGCACCCTTTTATTTTGAATATTTTTTTTATTTTCTTTTTTCTGTTGGCTGCGTATTAATTATTAAATTCCATTTGACACATTCATTAAACTTTAGACTTAGAGAGATTTTAACTTAGAGGAACCTATTAACAAGATCGGTTTGGGATTTCTCTTCCTTTATTCTTTATCTTGAAACTATTCCATGTATATCTTCAAATGCTATCAGCAACCCCATTTAAAAAGGGTAAGACTGGTAAGAGATTCAGTAAAATCTATCTGTTGTTTTCTACAATCCATTGAGTTGCAAATTATTCAACAAATGGTAAGTACTACCGACCTTAGGTACTTGTTGGTAAGCTAAAATGTTACGTTCTAATCTAAATTCCAAGGCTATTTGTAAATGTTATTGTCACTATAATTGATTAGTATATTTAGTTGATTGTAACGAGGAATTGAAAGGTTCCTGTTGACTATTGCATATTGGTCATTGTTATTTTTGGTTGCAAATTCATTCTTAGCCGAAGAGAAAACCCAAAAAAAGAATGATCGAATGTTTCATTGTAAAACCTTATTTTATATGACTATGTACTATTATTGACTTTCTCTTATCGATATTCTAATACAATATGTTAGCACTGTCTAAGATATAAATCTAAACCAAATTTTTCACTATGAGAGTCTCTAATTGTAAGAAAGTTAATAATTATTGAGAAAAATCTACAAATTATTTTACAAAAATAGTTCATTATTGCAAGGAAACTAACCGCCTATACTTTATATATTATATATTCTCTCGTTCGTACCAGCAAAGGGTTAATATGTCATTGCAAGTATCGTGAATTGATTGCAAACTAGTATAAATCTATGACTATCTATGCTCAGTTTTTTGCTTCAAACTACCCCATATCTACGGACCTCCTTTTAATGCTGCAAATCTTGCCTTTAAAGCGTCAAATTCATCTTGCTGTTTTTTAACTTCAGATTTCTTTGGTTGTTGTGGCTTTGTTTCCTCGGCTGCAATTGGCGGTTCCAAGGGTCTTGGCTCTTTAATACCTCCACTACCTCCATCTTCGTCATCATCTTCATCTTTACCTTCTACTGGTTGTTCTTCTTCTTCACTAATGGAATAATCTTTTAATCCTGAAAATGGTGCATCATAAGTTCTTGCAATTTCACATAAATAAAGTTGAACTAAAGTTTCCAGGGGAGGATCAATTGAACACCGTTTAATAATTCTTTCTGGGATTTTGCCATCTTTATTCTCTAAAGCATTTTTAGCAAATTCTTGACCAAATTTATAAATAAAAAGATCTTTTATAGTTGTTAATTCTTTTAATTCAGTATGATTTGCACTATAAATTATTGATTCAACTGCTTCTCTTAAATTTTCATCACATTTAATATTAAGAGGATTTAATAAGATTGATATTCTAGCTAATAATAATTCACAATATAATTCTAAAAATTCTAATAATTCAATATAAATATCATCTCTAATTATATTCTCTACTCTAATTAATGCACTCAGTTCTTTACCTTGTTGTAATAAATCAGCTAATTGACGTCGTTGTTGTTTTGTTAATGCTTGTTTCTTTTCTTGAATGAATTTTAATTTACTAATGGCCATTTTTAAGGCAGTTTTTAATCTAATTGGATTAAACTGGGGAGGAGGTGTAGTATGTGCCATTGTTTACTCTGATTCTTACTTACTCTAGTACTTGAATGTGGTAATTAATAAATGTGGAGATAAATCACTTTGTTGGAGATATTTTAATTTTTCGATTCCCAATATGCGCCCCCAAATGCGTCGCTCCCAACTGCGCTCCCAACTGCGCTGATCCAAAATTCTACTGGGCCCCCCTAAGATCAAGATTTCATTATTAAATAAATATCAATACGTTAAATTGCTATGAAATGAGAGAGAATGACAAAATAGACTAATTTAATCTAAAACTACAGTATGATCATGAGCAGGCATTCCTTTCACCAATAATTCATCTTCATCTTCATCAAAACTTGCCCCAATATTATCAATACTCTTGGTAATTCTTTTTAAAGTACAACATTGAATTTCTTTAATCCATTCATCAGATAAAATTTCTTCCAAAGTGGCTCTTTTCCTGGGATCAACTTGTAACATTTTAAATATAATTGGTCTAGATGCATGGGGTAACAATCTCATCAATCTATAAGGACCATGAATTTGTTTATGTTGAGATTGTTTCTTCTTGGCTGGTGTAGTAGTAGTTCCACCATTACCATTTTTTTCTTCAGCTTCTTTTTGTTGTTGAGCTTCTAATTGACGTTGTTTTTGTTGTTCTTCAAATAATTGTTGTTGATAGATTGGATCTCGTTTTCTTTCATCCATCCATTTGATCTTCATTTCATTCTTGATATTTTCATATTCTTGTAATTTTACATCAATTACTCTTAATTGAGACATTATATCATCTATTTGTTCTTCAGATAATACTTCAACATTTTCCAATTTCGAATCTCGTCTTGCGATTTCCGTTGACTGTGGTTGTTGTGATGTTTGTTCTTGCTGTGCTGGAGGTGGAGTTTGTTCTGGTAACTCTTCTGCTTGTTCTGATTCTGATTGTCCATCTTGATCCATGGCTGAATCGTCATCATCACCATCCTCTTGTTGTTGTTGTTCTTCCTCCTTTCTCTTCTTCTCTTCTTCTAACTTCTTCTTTTTATTCAGTCTTACAATAATATTCTTTAATTTCCTTTGTTGTAATAACAATTTATGACATTCATTACTTAAATAATAATCATGCCAATTATCATCACTCATACAATAAAGTTTAAAACTATTATCTTTGTCAATATTGGGTATTTTCCACGGAAATCTTTTCAATGTCATACAACAATAAATAATTGCAATTGACCATAAATCGACTGGTTGAGGATTATAAGATCCAGGAGATTTTAAAACTTCAGGAGCTAAATAAGGATCAGATCCAACTATACCATGACAAGGATGAATTGAATCTTTTGAATTTCCATATTGATCATAAGGATATTTGAAAATCACAGCACTTCCAAAATCAATAATTTTTAATATTCCATCAGTTGTAATCACACAATTATCTAATTTTAAATCTCGATGAGCTAATCCTAAACTATGTAAATAATTAACCCCTTCTAATATTTGTTTTAAACAACAATTAACTTCACCTCTTGACATTTCTCCACTCATAACCACGGCAAAGAAATCAATGGGAGCATATTCCATAATTTCAAAATATCGATTATTTTCATGAATTATATCAATTGTCTTAATAATATTTGGATGTTTTAAAGTTGATCCAATACAATATTCAGCAGTACATTTCCTAGTATAATCTTTTAAAGATTCAGTTGATCTTCTAGGTCTAAATTCTTTAACGGCAAATGTTTTAGAATCACTTGGTCTTGTAATTAATTTAACTGACCCTCCTGCTCCACTACCCAATTCTTTTCCAATTTTTCCATATTTCTTAACCAAGGGGGAATTATCATCGGTGAATGGATCACGATTAGTATTGGTAGAATGTGATGCATTATGTAATAATTGTGAAGAAGTTTGATTGATTAAATTAGCTAATGAAGTACTTGAATGTTCTCGAGATTGTAATCCACTACTGGTTCCTCCACTTAAGACTGATGGAGAATGGATTTGATTATTATAAGTGTTGGTGACATTTCTGGCTGAATTGGATGTTTTCTTGGTTGGTTTAAAGAATCGTTTTAAATCAACCATAGAACTTGGTTTTGTAAATGCATGACTTGAATCTTCGGTAAATTGTGAAGATTGTAATCCGGAAAGACTTTGGTGTGGCGATGTAGGTGTAGGTGTAGGTGGTTGTGATTGTTGCAGAGCCACCTTCAGTGCTGGGGCCAGCAGTTGTTGTTGACCTGGTTGTTGTTGCAGTTGAGCTAGTTGTTGTGAGACCAGTTGTGGTTGTTGTTGTATATCCGTAGAATTGGTAATAGTTGGAGATGTTAAAGAATCATCTGAGTCATGTCTACCAATATGAAAACCAAGGAATCTTCTATTTGTACTTGATGGACTCAAACTGTCACTCTCAGGTTTATGTTTTGAGAATAATTTAAGTTTATGTTTATCTGGCATGATTTAATTGGTTTGTATATGTATGTGGGTGTAATTTGGATGTTTAAAAAAGGGGGGATGGAATGGGGATATATACAAATGAATTATAAGATGTTGAAAATTCTTGATTATTGTTATTATGCACTATTCTTGCTTTGTTTGTTGAACGAAAATGATAAGTTATTTATAACTTTCTCTCCCTCTGCTTAATTGAAATTTAATTGAAATTGAATTTTAAAGTGACACAGGAAAAATGATTATGTATTTATCCGGATTTAAGTGTAAATTGAAACTGATGGGTAATTCCGTTGTATATTTTATATTATAACTTTATAAACAGTTCAATTGATCTTAAATGAGTATTTTGATTGATTACTGGTTAGTTAATTAATTTGTGATATTATTAAAATTGCTTTTCTTATGTGTGTGGTTTTTTGTCAATGATTTGTCTCTCTGTCCCTGTCTCAGTATTATTTCTCTCTATATCTCTCTATCTTTCTATCTCTCTATCTCTCTCTTCTTCAGGGAGAAATGGTTTAGCTTTTAGTTAAATCTAACTATGGGCTGTGTTAGAAATAAGATGGATTGTAAAGGGAGGTATGGTAAGGTGATTGTTGTATATTTGTAATACTTAAATGTGTTAAATTAAAAAAAAAATGTTAATATTTTATTTGCATTTTAATTGGAAGGAAAAAAAATCAAATTGCATTTTAGAAAAAAAAAATTGAATTAATGCCATTCTACCGAAATTAAGTATTGTAGATTGGATGTTTATATTGTCTAACAGTTCAATAGCCGTTCCATCCATATATCGAATGGCTTTTACATTACTACTTGTTACCTACTACTGTTACCTACTACTGTTGTACTATTAGATCTATTATTAACAGACTATATATATATATATACATATAATACCCACACTAAAGAGCAGTTCCTCTAACATGTTTTTGTCTTTCAGGAATATAAGGTTTAGTACCCTTTTTACTATGTCTTCTTTCATTATCTTCTCTATTCTTAATACTTTCAATTTCAATCCGTTTAATTTCTTGAGCTTTCTTAACAACAATTGGTACATGTCTATGTCTGGAAATACGTTTAATTTCTGGCATATGTTTAAATCTTTCTTTTAATGCATTATCATATTCTAATTTAGATCTTTGTCTTGCTGATTTAATATTAGATCGTTCACTTGAATTAGTTCTCCATATTCTAACATTAGTATCATCAGATCCACTTAATATATATCTTGAATCAGTACTAAATTTAATACTGAAAATTCTTTGCATTCTTTTTGTATGATAAATATCTCTTGAATGTCCCAGTCTAGTTTTAAAAATTCGAATTGTTTTATCATAAGATCCAGTAACTAATTCTTCACCAGTTGGTGAAAAATCAATATCCATTATAGCGGCAACATGATCTTTATAAATATTAATTGATTTATTTAAATTTCTCATATCCCAAAGATAACCATTATGATCTTCATTCCCAGTAACAAAATTAAATGCTTCCATTGGATTCCAACTAATACAATTTGTTCTTAATGATGTAACAACTTTTTGAATTGGAGAATTAGTTCTAATATCATATAAAACAATCGAATTATCTGATCCGGCTGAAGCAATTATATTAGTTTCAGTTTGATTAAATTTTACCGTATTTATATTATCAGCACCCCAAGATAAATCAGATATATGTTTAGAACGATTCATATCCCATAATTGAATAGTAGCACCACCAGTAACAAATAAATCATCTTCACGATGATGATCTATTCCTTTAAATGCATGTTCTCCCAAAAATGATTTAATTAATCCTTGTTTCTTACTGGTATAAACTTCATCATCAGTAATAGTATGATCAAATTCCTCACTATGTACAGACCATAACTTAATAGTTTTATCATCACCACAACTCAACATAGTATTCCCCTTAGGAGTAACACATAATCCACTAACCATACCATAATGAGCTTTAAAACTAACCGTTTCTAATCTACTTGTCAAATTCCAATATTTAATAACCCCATCACCTGATCCACTAGCCATTTGATTCGTAGAACCAAAATTCTTAGCTAGTACATATACACCATCCCTATGACCATCTCCTAATTGTCCAATAAATGGTTGCGCAAACATTCGTTCCATTTTGGTGGCAGTTAAGGCTTTGGTATATTCACGCGCACGTTCAAATGGATGTAATGCTGGGTTTAAATTACGAGGTAAGGATGATTCCTGGGTATTTCTTACTGGGACATATGTGTCTGAGGATCTACTGATTGTTTTTATCTTCATTTTGGTGGTGGGTTGGTTGTTGATAGGATGATTAGTTAGAGATGAATATTTTATTAGGATTTTTTTTTTTTTTTGAATCTCATCGCATAGTTAATTATATGCGCGACCAGTACAGTACTGTAGATTTTTTACTTACTGATTATGACAGTAGTACTTTCATCTTTAGAGAATAAATCACATCCACTTTTAATTGTAGCTAGCTACATATGTCACTACATATATCATAGTTCTCTGAAGTCTATGGATAATACTATAAACTTTTTTAGAAATCAAAATGTGGAATAAAGCCTATTGACAACTTCGTCTCCCGGTCTCCACTCTCCTTCCCCACGCATGGGTACCTCAAGGTATAGGATTGCAAGGTGTATTTATGTGGCAGTCCCCTCTGGCCTTGCTTTCAGAAAACCTTAATACCGCAGAATGTGGTATGACAGTAACCCGGACTGAGGTTCCCTTGATGCAAGTTACATACCTAGTCCTTGGCGTAGAGTCCTCTAGTGTTTCAGAATGGTGTCACGTTACACTTGTGTTAGGTTGAGTTTACACCCAGCTTCGTGCGTCACATCTTCGTTCATACGGTGTCTAGTCTGACTTGGATATATGCCTGTGGCCTTTCCCATTCTTCGAATTGGAATCAGCAACGGATCTTGAACAAGGTGTCCTTGTACGGTATTCACGTCCGACTACTTAGCTTAGTTATAAAGAACTACGTTTCACGTCCCGTATTGCAATACGCATTCGGTCGGCTTCCTCTATGGACAGGGGACAGGCATTGCCTGCCATCAAACATGCTTAACTACGATTCCGACCAAATGTGGTTTCTTCTCTCTTAGGGTCTTTATCCCTGGGTAATGTCTCCCTTTACAAGGATTGAATCTGAGGGTGTCTTTTTCTTGGCTTTAAAGAAACGATACTAGTCAACATTCAAAGAGAGCCAATGTACTTATGTATTAGTTTATGAAAAGAGCTGTTCTTGTTGGATGTAACCCCGTGGGGCTACTTTAAAACAGCGTTTGAGAGTATAATTTATAAATTGCCCCTCTCCGAATTAAAAAAAAAACGTCTTATTTTCTTGAGGATTCAGGTATATCATTAATCATTCGATTTCGAAGCTTCAAAGTAGGTGTCTAGTTTAAAAGTTGATATTAATTACATTGGATAAGTATAACAAAGAGATATTAACATAGCCTCATTGGATTATTAATGTCGGGGAATTATCATCTCTATCCACTTCTCTTAATAATAAAGCGTGATAGTCTATGTATACATTGTCTGTTTCGGTATGGTATGTGAGCTCGGTGTTATTAACATTGTGTATAATAAAGGAATTAGTAAGTGGACAGGATAAATTCGGAGATATTCAAATTCGCCTATAAATCCGGTCATCCAATTTCTTTCTTTTTTTAATACATTGTACTTCCCAGACCTCCGCCATCCCCCCCGCCTCTCTCTCTCTCTCTCTTATAGAAAATTTTGTCATCAATTGGTACGTTAAACCAGGAAATACCGGGAAATTATGATATATCATCCAATTCTTCCTAATTAATAAATAGTATATGTTGTAAAGATAGATACAGTTATCTGCCGATTTTGTCCTCTTTTCTAAAATATGAATTTTTACTCACAATTAATTTTGTGACTTTTATTTTATTTTATTATTTATTTAATTGGGAGTATTCACTTTATAATATGTTTGATTTTTCCTTTGTAAAATTATAGATTATTTTTATTTGTTGTCTTTGTTTAAAAATCAATACAACAAGAAGAAGAAGAAGAAGAAGAAGAGATTTTCAAATACAGAATCAGAATTCTTTTGCATATACTTTATCAACTAAAAGGTAATATCATTTAATTAATAACATTTATTCTTTCATTCCTGTGGTTTTTTTGGATCACTTTTAGATATTCATAGTACCCGGAAAAGGAAAATTATAAAACAACAATTACAATGGAAGATTCACGAGAATCATCATTTATCAATCAATCATCTTCATCTGCTTCAACATCACCTCCAACTGAAATACCCATTCCTCATCTACTGGGTAACTTCAATATTAAACATTCAAATTCAGATTATTGTGGTGCTGGCGGTGGTATTGGCAATAAACCAAAACGTCAAAGAAGAAGTTATAGTTGTGGTCCATGTAAATTATTAAAAATAAAATGTGATTTACAAATCCCATGTTCATCATGTAAGAAATTTAAACGAATTAGTCGATGTTTACTTCAACCTCCTCAACCTCCTTCTCAAGAAGAGTTAAATAAAATAAAACAAAGGAAAACAAGAACAAATATTAAGAAATTGAAATTGACTGGTACTACTATTGGATCTCCTAATGTTAGTACTAGTAGTAGTACTGTCAATAATGAAATAGTTACAGCATACAATAGTAATCTAGAGTCTATCCCATCTTTAATAAACAGAATGCTGACAGTTTCAAAGAGTTCTCATCATCATATCCATAATGTTGCAAAAAAGAAAAAGAAGAATCTATCAATAAGTCATCCAAGTGGTCATTTAAGATTACAACCAGAACCAATAGATATGAAATCAAAACCTCCAATTGCATTTATTACTTCCCAATTTGGTCAAAATATCACATCTCTGCCACTGCAATTACATCAACAACAACAATTACAAGAACAATACCCTTATGCAAATGATAATCTACTTGATCGACTTTATTATCAAGATACATTTAGAATGTATGAATTAACCATGGTTGATATTAGAAGAATTAAACGATTATTACCAAATAATTTCAATATATTTGAACAATTATTTGAAATTTATAAATCATCATTAAATGTAATTATACATGATTTACAAAATTTATCAGAAATTAAACAACAATCGAAATTGATTTATTATCGAATATTAAATATAAATGACGAATTAAACTTAGCCAGTTCAATCAGTTTTAATATGATTGAATTAAGACAATTATCATTAATGTTTTTAATTTTAGTTAATGGATTTTATTTAAAAGAATTTGATGATTTAAAGAATTTTTTAATTGAACCAACTATATTTAAACCAAAAGAAGATATAATTAATGATTGGATTAAAATTTCAAAATTTATTAAATTGAAAATTTTATCATATGATACTTTAACTGATTTAATTTATTTAATTGATTGGTATTTAATTATTAAGAATTATTATAGCTATAGTAATTTAATTGTGGACAATTATTTGGAATTTAATAATTTATTAAATTATATTGTTTTAAATAATGATTTTATTGAATTGTTAGAAGATCCAGGCAAAGAACTGACTCCAGAAAGTGAAGAAGAACATGAAGAACATGAAGAACCAGCAGACATCCACCCTGACGACAATGAAAGTAATGATGATGAAATCGATGATATTCAATATCCAAATAGTAAAGAATTTAAATTATTAGCAAAATATTGGATTCAAATTAGATTAGTTGAAATTGAATATACATTTTTTCAATTTAAAGGGTCATTATTAGTTTCAAATCAATTAAAAAATACATTAGTACCTCATGAACGATTATTATCGGTGGTTTATCCTAATGAAACAAGATCTTTACATGTATTTTCTATCAAGATTTGGGGATTATATTATAGACAATCAAAAAGATATTCAACTTCAATTCGTGATATTATCAAAAATTACTTATTATTATATAGTAATGTTGCTGAAGTTTTAAAAGATGAATTGAATGATTATAGTCAATCTATTAGAAGGAGTATTTCTACCAACCAGGAAGTAGTCATAACTGATAAAGATCTTGAATTGGTAATTAAAAATCAACAAGTTGGAGTATTGTTTATTAGATGGTTAGCTTTCATTAGAATTGAATCAAAGTATTTCCCAAGTTTAAGATATTTTTCATATTTTACAAGTATGATTAATTTATTTAATCATTTTAATATAATTGATAATAATGTTCAAGGAAAATTATTATGGATATTAATCGATAAATATCCAATTCATTATATTAAAAGTTTTTATCAATGTTTAACTTATCAAGGAATCTTTTTAATTATATTAACAAATTCAATTGGTTTAAATTTGAATTATAAAATTAATTTAAGTCGATTTTATAATATTATATTAAATCAATTTAAATTAACCCTTAACAAATTCCTTAATTTCAATCATAAAGTCAATCATTTAAGGTTTTTTAATTTAACTAATTCATTATTAATTGAATTTGCCAATATTCTTGATAATAATAATCAATCTACAACAACGACAACAACAACAACTTCAATTATTTTGAAATATGAAAATTTATCAGACCTAGTATATAATTTGAAATCAATTATACATCCAGAACAATGGGAATTATTAATGAATTTCTATTTTGGTTCACAAGATAATTTTATTAGATATATTGAAAAAGTTTGGGATTTATTTGAGTTCTTAAAGTTATCAACCGTTAATCAAGCTAATAATACCCAGCAGATATTAATTACCCAGAATTTGAAATTTGATGATGCATCAATTGAATCCTTAATTGGAAATCTAACTGGATTTGTATTTGATAATGAAGTTGTAAATGAATATATGAAGACATGTGTTGATCCATACATTAGTAAAGATTAATACAAGTACATTGGCATAAAAAGTATATAGCATCTAGACATAATAATGAATTAAGTGATGACAATTATTTCATCAAAATATTTTGCAGCCATTGTTTTCTCTAATACATATCAGAGCTATCGGCATTATCATTGTTGCTAGCAAAGGTATTACTCAGACAACCGCCTTGAGAGAGAAGGTAGACTGCAAGCGAGATAAGTTCTCTAGCACATCTTACGGAAGCATGGCTGCAAGAAATTCGTAATTACGGCCAAAATTCCTTACTGACGGATTACCTGCCGAATAAAGCCCTTTTGTAAACTCATTTCTCTACACTGAGTACACACAAAGAAATATTTCAACCATCAGTATACCAACATGGTCATAATGCGATGACAAGAGAAGGGAGATTACTTTCCGTTAAACCCACAAAAGCAAAATTCAAACACAGATTTCAATCACCAATAAAATAAAGAACACTGACAGTCACATTCTCTACAGCATATAGAGCATCGGGTCATAGGTTATGTTGAAATATCAAATGCTTTGCTGTTGACTAAAGCATCAGTTGGTCCTCGAAGGAACATTTTTCCATAAACTATAATTATGATGAGACAATAAATTATGGATAAATCAATGAATATAGTCTGCCTTGTTTGGATCTAGTAGAAGGGTGGAATTAGCTGTAAATTGGATTTTGG